AGGAAAAAAACAACTATGAAAGCACAGGCAGGGCTAATTCAGTTGTAATAGCTGAACATAGCATTTTTCCTGAACTGCTTGGTAATCAGTGGAGGAAAAAAGGAAAATTATTGATGGTATAATTCATGTTACCATAAAATATCTAGTTTACCAGTTCTCCACCAAGGGTCATCTTGACGATGAAGTCAAAAAAATACATTAAATGTGAGACCTTGTTTGGAAAGAACTAGGTTAAATATTTTTTTCTTTAGAGATAGTTTACAATAAATGCAGAAACTAAATAGTGTTATTCAATAAAAGTTGAATACATAACATTATAGGATATTTGTGAACTTAATTCTGCAGGTGGGGCTGAGCAGGTGTCATCCAATAACCTATTTTGACATAGTCTGTGGTATAAAATGAGTAAACAACTAAAGAGCAAAATTAATCAACTTTCTTTTCTCTATCAGCACTTGATGAAAGGATACCAGATTATTCATTAATATATTTAAAGATGTCCTAAAACAGTGATTTTTTTAAACTACTGACTGAGTCAGCATCTGGATGTTTTGAGAATCAGATAATCAGGTGCAGAATAATACATTTTATTATTTTTAATTAATTTTAATTTTATTTTATTTTATATTTTTAATTTATTTTTGTGTATGGTTTTAGGGAGTGTTTTAATTTCTTCTCTTACATGTGTCTGTCCAGTTTTCCCACCACCATTTATTGAAGAGACTATTTTCTCCATTGAATATTCTTGCCTCTTTTGCAATAGATTAGGTAACCACAGTGCTTGGGTTTACCTCTTGGCTTTCTATCCTGTTCCATTGATATATATTTCAGTTTTAATGCCAGTATCATACTGTTTTAATGACTGTAGCCTAGCAATATAATCTGAAGTCAGGGAGCCTGATTCCTCCAGCTTCATTTTCCTTTCTCAAGATTGCTTTGGCTAGTCAGGGTCTTTCATATTTCCATACAAATTGTAAAAATGTTTATTCTAGTTCTGTGAAAAGTGTCATTGGCAGTTTGATAGAGATTACACTGAATCTGTAAGATCTGTAGATTGCTTTGGATAGTATAGTCATTTTGACAATATTGATTTAATCCAAGAACATGATATATCTCTCCTTACATTTGTTTCATCTTTTATTTCTTTCATCAATATCTTATACTTTTCCAAGTACAGGTCTTTGGCTCCTTAGGTATTTTATTCTTTTTGATGTATGGATACATGGGATTGTTTCCTTAATTTCTCTTTCTGATTTTTACTGTTAGTATATAGAAGTGCAAGAGATTTAGTGTATTGATTTTGTGTCCTGCAACTTTGCCAAGTTTATTGATGAGCTCTGGTAGTTTTCTGGTAGCATCTTTAGGGTTTTATATGTACAATATCATGTCTGTAAACACTGATGACTTTACTTCTTTTTCTAGTTTGGATTCATTTTACTTCGTATTTGTCTCTGATTGTTTTTGTGTCTAGGACTTCCAAAATATGTTGAATAAAAGTGGTTAGAGTTGACATCCTTGTTTTGTTCCTGATCTTAGAAGAAATACTTTCATGTTTTAACCATTGAGAATGTAGTTTGGTATAGGTTTGTCATATATGGCCTTTATTATGTTGAGGTAGGTTCCATCTAATAGCCACTTTGTAGAGAATATTTTTTATCATAGTTGGGTGTAGAATTCTGTCAAAAACTTTTTCTTCGTCTATTGAAATGATCATATGATTTTTATTATTCAATTTGTTAACATGATGTATCACACTGATGGATTTATAAGAATCCTTGCTTTTCTGGGATAAATCCCACTTGATCACAGTCTATGATTATTCTAATGTGTTTTTGGATTTAGTTTGCTAGTCTTTTGTTGAGAATCTTTGCATCTATGTTCATCAGTGGTATCTTGTGTGTTATATCTTTATCTGATTTTGGCATTTTTGGAAATTTCAGAAGGGTGGTTTTTAACTCTTCCTTGAATGTTTGATAGAATTAGCCTGTGAAGCCATCTTGTCCTGGACTTTTGTTCATTTTTACTCACAGTTTCAAGTTCAGTACATGTGAATATTCTATCCATATAATCTATTTCACACTAGTTTCATTTTAGAAGGTTGAACCTTTCTAAGAATTTGTCTATTTCTTCTAGGCTGTCCAATTTATGGGTATATAGTTGCTTGTAGTAGTCTCTTATGATCATTTTTATTTTTATGGTGTCAGTTGTAACTTCTCCTTTTTTACCTCTAATTTTATTAATTCAAGTCCTCTCCCTTTTTTTATGGCTCTGGTTAAAGGTTTATCAATTTTATTTATCATCTCAAAGAACAAGTTTTAAATTTATTGATTGTTGCTATTGTTTTCTTTGTCTCTATTTCACTTATTTCTGCTCTTAATTTTATGGCTTTTTTCCATCTATTAACTTTAGGTTTTGTTTTTCTTTCTTTAGTTGCTTTAGGTGTAAGATCAGGTAGTTTGAGACTCTTCTTGCTTCTTGAGGTAAGACTGTCAGTGTCCTTCTTAGAACTGATTTTGCCATGTTCCACAGGTTTTAGCTCATCATGCTTTCCTTGTAATTTATCTCTAGGTATTTTTTTTAAATTTCCTCTTTGATTTCTTCAGTGATTTAGTGATTATTTCGTTACATTGTTTAGCTTCCATGTGTTTGCTTTTTACAGCTTTTTTTTTTTTTTTTCTGTAATTGATTTCTAACCTCATAGCACTGGGTCATGAAAGATGCTTGATATTATTTCAATTTTCTTGAATTTATCAAGACTTGATTTGTGACCTAGAATGTGATCTATTCTGGAGAATGTTCCATGTGTTATCGGGAAGAAAGTGCATTCTGCTGCTTTAAGATGGATTGTCTTAAAATTTTCAATTAAGTCTATCTGGTCAAGCCTTAAGTTTGATGTAAGGCTTGTGTTTTCTTATTAATTTTCTCTCTAGATGATCTGTCCATTGGTGAAAATAAGTGTTAGAGTCTCCCACTGTTAATATATTACTGTTGATTTCCTCTTTTATGGCTTTTAGCATTTGCCTTATAAATTGAGGTGTTCCTATGTTGCATGCTTATTTATTTACAATTGTTATATCTTCTTGTGGGATTGATCCCTTAATCATTATGTAGCGTCCTTCCTTGTCTCTTGTAGTAGCATTTATTTTGAAGTCTATTTTTTCTAATATAAGCACTGCTACCTCAGCTTTCTTTTGATTTCAATTTGCATGAAATATCTTTTTTCCATCCCCTCATTTTCTGTCTGTGTGTATCCCTACATTTGAATTGGGTCTCTTGTAGAAGCATATATAAGGGTCTTGATTTTGTATCCATTCAGCCAGTCTGTGTGTTTTGGTTTGAGCATTTAATCTATTTACATTTAAGATAATTATTGATATGTAGCATTGCCTTTTTCTTAATTGTTTGGGATTTGGGTTTTCTTATAGTTTGATGACAATCTTTATTGTTGTGTTTCAGTAGCTTGTGTATGTGTTGTATTATATTTTGGGGGACATTGCATTTCTCATAGGTTTTGATAAAGCAGTTTATAAAGCAGTATACAAAGTTGTTGTCAGTTGATCGCCTCAATTTCAAATGCCACTCCCATTTCCTGCATTCACACTGCTTTCTTTCTCATGGTTGCTGCTTTTGACATCATATTTGTGTATAAATGATTTCTTATTCTTATTGTGTTTGCCTTTACCAGTGAGCTTTCCCACTTGTGATTTTCTTGTTTCTAGTTGTGTCTTTTTTTTTTTTTCCTACCTTGGGAAGTTCTTTTAGCATTTGTTATAAAGCTTGTCTAGTGGTGCTAAAGTCTCTTAGTTTTTGCTCTTAAAGCTGTTATATTCTTTGCCTAATCTTAATGAGATCTTTGTGGGATAGAGTAGTCTTGGCTGTAAGGTTTTCCTTTTCATCACTTTCAATATATCCTGCCACTTCCTTTTAGCCTACAGAGTTTTTGCTAAAAAAGAAGCTGATAACCTTATGGGGATACTCTTGTATGTTATTTGTTGTTCTTCTCTTGTTTCTTTTAGTATTTTTTCATTGTATTTAATTTTTGCTACTTCAATTAACGTATATCTTGGTATGTTCCTCCTTGGGTTTATCCTGTATTGGACTCTCTGTGCTTTCTTGACTTGGGTGATAGTTTCCTTCACCATGTTAGGGAGTTTCTCAAATATGAAGTGAAGTGAAAGTCACTCTGTAGTGTCCAACTCTCTGTGACCCCATGGACTATACAGTCCATGGAATTCTCCAGGCCAGAATACTAGAGTGGGTAGCCTTTCCCTTCTCCAGGGGATCTTCCCAACCAACGGATCAAACCCAGATCTCCCACATTGCAGGCAAATTCTTTACCAGCCGAGCCACAAGGGAAGCCTGTGAATACTGGAGTGAGTAGCCTATCTCTTTTCCAGCAAATCTTCCTGACCCAGGAATTGAACCAGGGTTTCCTGCATTGTAGGCAGATTCTTTCCCAAATGAGCTACCAGGGGAGCCCTTTTCAACTATAATCTCTTCACATTTTTTTTTTCAGATTCTTTCTCTTCTGGAAAACCTATAATGCTTATGTTGGTATGTTTAATGTTGTCCCAGAGGTTTCCAAAACTGTCCTCATTTCTTTTTATTCTTTTCTCTTTATTCTGTGTCATGGCAGTAACATTCACCACTCTGTCTTCTAGCCCTTTACTTGTTCTTATGCTTAAGTTATTCTGCCATTGATCCTATCTAGTGCATTTTTCATTTCAGTATTGTGCTTTCACCTCTGTTTGTTTCTTCTTTAGTTCTTCTAGGTCTTTGTTAATCATTTCTTAGAACTTCTTAATTCATGCCTTCATCCTTTTTCCGTAACCTTGGATAAACTTTACTATCATTATTCTGAGTTATTTTAATAGTAGATTGTCTCTTTTCTCTTCATTTACTTATTCTTATAAGTTTTTATCTTCCTCCTTCATCAGTAACGCATTTCTTTGTTGCTTCATTTTGTCTGACTTACTGTGTTTGTGGTCTCCTTTCTGCAGACTGCAGGACCACAGTTCCTTTTGCTTCTGGTGTCTTCTTTCTGGTGGGTGGAGCTGATCCAGAGGCTCATGCCAGTTCCTCTTGGATAAGGAGTTCAACTGGTATTTTGGTGACCAGAGCCTCCCCTGGCTATTGATGGGGCCTCCCCTTTATTCTGTGTGTTTCAACGCCCTGGGAAAGATGGCATCTGCTCCTTTGCTGTTGAAGTAGACTGCCCTCCACCCTCTATCTCTCAACAGCATTTCTGACCAATGGTGCAAGATAGGCAGGACTGGAGCACTCTCACCAGGAGAGAAGCCACTGAGTATTTCCTCCTCTGGACCTGTTCACCTGTTAATGTGCTCTGTTGTGTTCCTTTCACCTGTTGTGTGGGCTTACAGAGTACAGTTTCTGACACTGCTCTCAGTCCCGCCTTAATTATGGGTATGCTGACAGTTGACCTAAATGACTCTCAGGCATTATTTACACCAGGTCACCAGCACAAATCCACTGAAGTCAGGTCCCACACAGCACTAGTCATTCACCTGGACCCACTTGGAAAATATGGAGGCAGGTTAGACTATGGGCTGGCCCAACTCCCATGTTACATGCCCACAAAGCCCACAGCTGCTAAAGCCAGAGCAGTATCAACTGCAGGAGCACTTGCTGTCTGTTTGGCTGTCCCAAAGTTGCTGAATTCAGGAAGCTGTCAGTGGAAGTGTAACTTTGAAGTTCCTGCAGTTGCAAGGAGATTTCAGCTCTTCTTTGGCAACATCAACCCTGAGCTTCACTGTGGTTTCAGCCTTAACTCTTCCTGTGTTCTTCCCACTGGAATCTGTTCCACAAGTTGTCAGAGCATAGGAACCTGTCAGGCAGAAAGGGGCCAAGGTGGTGATCGGGATGAGCAGGCCACCCAGACAGGATGGTTCTGGGGTAGCAGTTGGAACATGAGAGCCCATCAAGCAGGAGGAAGCCAAGGGGGACACTGGGGCAAGCAAGTCACGGGTGAGGGTTCACTGGGGAGGCGATGGTGGGGACACAGGAGCCAGCTGCAGTTGGAGCCCTGCCTAGCGCCCATGGAGGGAGGGGTCAGTGCACGAGGGAGAGAGGCTGTAATGCTGACTCCTCTTCTTGCACGCCACTCAACAGTGGCACTTCACTTTCACTTCTATGGCTGTCCCAATGATGGATTTCCTCACTTTCATAAGGAAAGCTGTCTCTTCAAAGTCAACAGCAACCCCTTTCCCTGATCTGCACTCCAGACTCCTTGTTCCAGCACCCGGTCCTTGCACCCTGGTGGACACCTGTCTCAGGCTGGGGTGCTCAGGGTTGCGGTACAGACCATCTGTGCGGGTCTCGCTCTGCCCTGCCTGCCAGGTAACAGTTGCTGTGCTCTCCCTGGAGCCCCTGAAGCTCCCCTCCTGTCCCAACTGATCTCCCTACACGTGAGAAAGCTTCCCCAGATGTGGGAACCTCTCCCCACCTTCAGTTTCCCACCTGGGGTGCAGGTCTCACCCCCATTTCCTCTCCTCTTCCTTTTTCCTTCTTCTTTATTTCATCCTACCCGGTTATGTGGGGATATTTCTTGCCCATTTAAGAGTATGAGGTCCTCTGCTAAGGCTCAGCAGATGCTCTGTGGGTATTGTTCCATTTTTAGATGTATTCTTGTTGCATTTGTGAGAGTTGAACTCCACATCCTCCTACTCCTCCACAGTGTTGAACATCTATATGGTTGACTTTTAAGTTGTTTCATCTGAATGCATATTTTTCACTATCTCTATCTCTCTCTCATTAGACATATAGGTAGATAGATATAGATATAGATATAGATAGATTTGGATGAATTACTTTTATAAATAGGAAAATGCTAAATAGCTCCAGTTTTTAAAAATTAATGAAAACTAAAATTTTATTCAAGTATCAGAACTTTGCAAAAGTGTGCCTACTTGAGCACAGGTTTTTTTTTTGTCTTTGTTTTTGTTTTCCTATATTTTGTGCTGATTTTCAATCTGAGACATTGTTGAGTGATAAGACAAATGTTTTAATCACCTGATCAAGGTTTATAGTCAAGAAATACCTGAAACAGATATTGTCATGGAAGAGAAGTTAACTCACATTGCACTTTTACCTGCCCTCAGCTCTGTGTGGTAACTCTACAAGATTAGTAAATTTCCAGACACAAGAAAAACAAATAAGCAACAAAAACATTTATTTATATGGTTGCACCTCTGAAGTGGCACATTTGGTTTATCTTTGAATTTAAGATATTCTTTGTTCATTTGCATTCCCAGATACTACATTATTTGTGTGTGTTAGTCACTCAGTCATGTCCAACTCCTTGCAACACCATAGACTGTAGCTCTCCAGGCTCTTCTGTCCATGGGATTCTCCAGGCAAGAATACTGGGTTGCCATTTCCTTTTCCAATTATTTAGGATCCTTTAATATTTTTAGACAAATTTTTGAATTTAAAGACCTAAGTAAATGCATGCATGCATGCACAAACACAATAAAGAAAAAAGAAAGCAGTTTCATTTTATATGCAGTTTTTTGGGGAGGGAGTCTCTCCCTGTCCTTCATGTATAGGGCAGGTTTCAGATTACACAGGGGAGCTCTGGAGGACATTGAAAGCAAATGTCGTTACAAAACAGAAGCACAGAAGACACCTAGGAATCCTCTAGCATTCTTTGTTTTTTCCTCTTTTTTCTTTTAATATTTAACCTTTTTAAATGTATTTTTTAATTAGAGGATAATTACTTTCCAATACTGTGATGATTTTTACCATACATCAACATGAATTGGCATTAGGTATACATACGTCCCCTCCCTATTGAACCCCCCTCTCAAGGACTTAGAAGAATTATATGCAGGTTTAAATGTACATGAAAGGCATGTTGACAGGAAGAGAACACTTCAGTGCTATTTGGTTTCTCTTTGTAAACACCAGAAAGCTATATGCAATTTAGTAATTGCAGGCTATTTATTGAAAATAAAAATGATTTGAAATATTTTAGCCTGTTTTTTATTCTTCATAAAGCTATCAGTGAACTGGATTTGATCTGAATTACATTAAGTGAATGATGATAAGTGTAAATAATATTAAAAGTAGTAGTAATAGTAGTGTCAGTCACTCAGTCATTCCCGACTCTTTGCAGCCCCATGGACTGTAGCCATCCAGCCTCCTCTGTCCGTATGATTCTCCAGGCAAGTATACTGGAGTAGGTTACCATGCCCTTCTCCACGGGATTTTCCTGACTACGGGATCGAACCCAGGTCTCCTGAATCGCAGATTCTTTACCATTAAAGCTAAAGGGAAGCTCTTAAATAATGTTAAGGGTAGTAAGATAAAATGAGAGATAAAGAAGAGAGGATGGGATAGATGGATGGGAAGAAAAAAAATAGAGGCAAAAGAGAATGAGAGGAAGTGGAGAGAGAAAGAAAGAGAGACTTCTGTATCTTCATCTTATGTGTAATATTTCATAGTCTGAATTCCACAGCTACCACTTTTGCTTCTGACTTCTATAGGGTTGTCTATTGTTTCTTCAACTGAAGGCTCAGTTCCCTTATCTATAAAGTAAAGGTTGAGCTTTTCTGTCTATAAAATTTCATGATTGCTAATATGAATAGCACTCAACCACATTCAGTAAACTACTCAGTGATATGCAATAATTTTAAATTATTTTCTTCAGGTTTCCTACATTTGCAAACACACCTTCCCATTCTCTACCCTGTGCTACTTGTGAAAATTAACTTATATTTTGCTGTGCACTCGCTAAGTCATGTCTGACCCTTTTCGATTCCATTGATTGCAGTATGCCTGGTTCCTCTGTCCTCCACTGTCTCCCAGAGTTTACTTAAATTCATGTCTGTAGAGTCAGTAATACTATCTAAACATCTCATCCTCTAACTTCCCCTTCTCCTTTTTCCTTCAATCTTTCTTAGCTTGAGGGTCCTTTCTAATAAGTCACCTCTTTGCATCACATGAACAAAGTACTGGAGCTTCAGCTTCAGCATCAGTCCTTCCAGTGAATATTCACGGTTGATTTCCTTTAGGACTGACTGGTTTGTTCCCCTTGCTGTCCAAAGGGACTCTCAAGAGTGTTCTCCAACACCACAGTTCAAAAGCATCAATTATTCAGTGTTCAACCTTGTTTATGGTACAACTCACATCTGTGCATCACTACTAGAAAACCCATAGCTTTGAGTATAGGAACGTTTGTCAGCAAAGTGATGTCTCGACTTCTTAATATGCTGTCTAGGTTTGTCATAGCTTTCCTTCCAAGGAGCAAGCATCTTTTAATGTCATGGCTGCAGTCACTGTCCGCAGTGATTTTGGAGCCCAAGAAAATAAAATCTGTCACTGCTTCCACTTTTTCTGTTTCTATTTGCTATGAAGTGATGGGACCAGATGCCATGATTTTAGTTTTTTGAATGTTGAGTTTTAAACCAGCTTTTTCACTCTCTTTTCACTTTCATCAAGAGGCTGTTTAGTTCCCCCCTCACTTTCTGCCATTAGAGTGGTATTATCTGCATATCTGAAATTATTGATATTTCTACAGGCAGTCTTGATTCCAGCTTGTGACTCATCTAATCAGCATTTCATATGATGTATTCTGCATATAAGCTAAATAATCAGGGTGACAATATACAGCATTGTTATGCATCTTTCCCAATCTTGAACCAATCAGTTCTTCCATGTCTGGTTCTAACTGTTGTTTCTGAACCACATATAGCTTCCCAGGAGACAAGTAAGGTGGTCTATATTACCATCCCTTTAATAATTTCTCACAGTTTGCTGAGATCCACACAGCTAAAGGCTTTTGCATACTCAAAGAACCAGAAGTAGATGATTTTCTCAAATTCCCTTGCTTTCTCTATGATCCAATGAAAGTTGGCAATTTGATCTCTGGTTCCTCTGCCTTTTCTAAACCCAGCTTGTACATCTGGAAGTTCTCAATTCACAATTGCTGAAGCCTATCTTAAAGGATTTTAAGCATTACCTTACTAGCATGGGAAATGAGCATCATTTTACATATTTTGAACATTGTTTGGCACTGCCTTTTTTGGGATTGTAATGAAAGCTGAATTTTTCCAGTCCTGTGGCCACTCTTGAGTTTTCCAAATTTGCTGAAATATTGATCATAGCATTTTAACGGCA